AAAACTTCATGAATGAAAATTAATAAATCTCTAAATCCAGAAGCATCAATTGTGAGTTATGTACTTGGCCTCCCATATAACACAAACTAAAGGATTTTAGTTGATTTTTTTTTTTCCTGCTTTACATAAATGCTGATTTATTTTTACTTTTGTGTCTGGTACCATTGTCTCGAGCTGTACAGGTCCAACCTAGTATCTTTACATTCAAATTTTACTACATGAATGCTGGAAAACAGTATTTCCATGCTACATGCCATAAAAACTAAACCTACAAGCAGTGTTTTAATAAAAAGGAAAATAATGAGCTAGGTATGGACTATAATTACTCTTTCAGATGATGGGGTAAATTCTTCCTGGTAGTTTCAATGTTGTTCAGTTGCTCATCTCTTGTGATGTGCTTCTGCTCTGTGGTTTTCATCTAGTGTTGTACAGACAAAGCTATAGACTCTCATGTATGTTTTCTTTCAGTAAAGAAAATGGCTTAGAAAAAAGGTGCTGTTATAATGACATCAAAGCTAACACTGGTACAAATTGTACTGATATGCACAATAAAACTACTGAAAGATGGATCTTCAATGTAATTCTAGAGTTCTTGTGTTAAGGCTGTAATATTGGATGTTACGAAAAAGGTGTAGCCTTCAATCAGAATGTGTGTGATTAACTCAATTTTTGTTACTTTTTCAGGAGGAATAGAAAAAATATCTCTGTGTAGATTGGGACATTAATTTTCCAGTCGTTAATAGGGGCTTGATCCAGAAGATGAAAAAAGGGAGTTACAAAAACCCCAGCCAACAATGGGGTGTTAAGGTGGCTTCCACAGGTGATGTCTCTTCCACTACAGGTTTTACCCTGACCTGCCAGGAGTGTCTAATCTTGAAGTGTTTGTCTCTTTCACTTTGTGTAGCTGCTGTCATTTTGGGAGGAGGAAGTCCGAGATCCTGCTCTTTCACAGGGAGAGGCTGGTCAAGGGCTGGTATCATGAAAATCAGAGGGTTGAATATGTGGTCATGAGGAAGAGGGGAGGAGTTGTCTGTGCCTTCATGGAAAACCTCAACTGATTGATGACAAATGCACTAATACCAGTCAAATGGGTAAAAATGGCAGGCACAAATAAGAGCACTAAATAAAATGTCTTCAAGCCCACTAACTCTCTTCCCTTGACATTTTTGGACCGGGGGGAAGCACCTCCAACAGGTGTGATTTCTGCCTCTGTGCTGTATTTTGAATGCAAGCGTCCATACTTGATACAGTTCTGTGTACAACTGAAAACTACATGAAGAAAGCCTCTCTTTTGTGTGTGAAAGAAAGCAGCAAATAAAGTAATATTAAAAAATAATAAAACAACTTGGGAAATTTGATTACAGAACATACATGAGTGAATGAAGATGGTTTTGTGCCGTCTGCTGCCCTTTCAAGGCAGACTTCAGCAAACAGCAGAGGCGCAGCTAGTGAAAAATCTGGTTCCTACTAACTACAAATGGGTGCATTGGATGTAGAATATGCATGTGTGGATATGTTTCAGTTGTCTGCCCTTTTCTGAATGGTGTTGGAAGGCACCTGTAACCCAAAGGCCTCGGCATCCTTTGTATTTCTCTACCCCCTTCGTATGTCATTTGTGATCTCATCCAACACTTTTACTTCCCTGCCAGATAATCATGGATAAATCTCCACGATGAAAGTCTTCTGTGCCCCTCTGCCTTTGCAGCTTAGCCTAGCAGCGAGGCAGGCATGTACACTTAATGCACAGGCACTTTTCTTGGATCAGTTTACAGGGAAAGCAAAAGGGGAGCAAAAGGTATGTCTCTGAGATGTTGTGTTGTCACTGATATCCTGCCAAGCTGCTCTGGGTGGTTCCTGCCCCATGCACAACAACAAAGTCTGACATGGAGAGTGTAGCTGGACTGCCTGGGGATGAGCTCCCATTGATTAGTTCCAGACCCTAAGCTCAGATGTAAAGAAGTGCAGATATGCGATCTCAGGCTGTCTCCTATATTAGAAAGAGTAACTTTACTTTTTTTATCCCCTGGGTTGGGAAGCTTAATTTTTTGTTGAATTCAGCATCCTGAAAAGACAAACAGCATTCACGTGTCCTTCATTCCATACAAACGTTTTCTGGTGATGGAATCATTTATAGTGGTACTGGGTGGAGTCAGCTTTTTGAGCATTTTCTCATGCTTTTGATAGTAAATGCAATTTAAAGAAAATACATATTTTTTTACTTTATTATTAGTTAGCAAATTTAACATCCACTCACTTCTGCTTGGTAGATGGCACCTTTTTGTTCCTGAATATTGTATAATTGATAGCTCTGAATAAGGTTGAGTTTCACAGTAGGTTTATGAAGCTTATTTTAATAAAACCAACTGCAACATAAATAATATAAAGAGTATCTGAGAGGCCATGTAACAAAAACATACAAATTGACAAATTAAACAGGAACTCAGGTAATTTTTTAGATAGATTATATTTTTTTCATGGTATTAGATAATTAGGAGAAAATTACTGGAACACTTCCTATAATTAGTAATTATCTAGCCAGTTGTCCCTAGAAGCATATTGCTGCAGCACAACGAACTATATTTCATGCTCTAGGACAGACCTAATCTTAAAAGATTAGGTTTAGAGTTGCTAGAAGGTGCAGAAATAACTACCCAATGGTCCACTTTGCTAATTGCAGTTGTTTTCCAGAGGATGAATTCACTTCAGCAGATTATATTAACCGGACAAGTTCAGACCAGAACTTTAGCATGAGAAAGTCATGGAACTGTCAGCACAACAAAATCCATTAGGTGATTTAAGGTCTGTTATTAACCCACATAGTAAAAAAGCAATACCTAGATTTTGCATTGATAGGTAATCCTATTTTGCCTGAATTGATGTAGGAGGGTAGGTAAAGAAATGGGGTTTGAATGCTGTAGAAATGCCAATGATAAGAACAGTTTCAGTAAAGTGGCACTGGATTTGCTATGAATGACAAGTGCTGAGGAACACTTGTTATGTCTTTGTTAGGCTTTGACTTGCAATGTCTTCCTGGCTTTCTTTATCCTACTCCAAGAACAGATGCTGCAGCAGTTGATGCTAGGCTTTCTGTTAAGTTCTTTGCTCATCCTTCAGCTGTTTCACCAGCTGCATGGTGATATCCCTTACCAATATCCACTTCATGAGTTCTTTCCAATTATAATTCTGAAACACGTACAGTTCCAACCAATACTCAGTGTATTTTAACTGTGATCACAATCAGGGATGGCCTGAAACCTCTTTAAGTGTACCGAGATAGATTTTCCTTAAAATAGCAAGAAAACCTCTGTACCATGTGCATGCTAAAATGTCTATGCTACTCATGCTGTCTAGATAGCTCGTCAATACCTGGCATGCACATTGATTCCTGTGGCGCTCAGCACACAATATACCAGCGCAGTAGTACTATGAAATCATTTCGGAAGCAGGTGAGGAACCCACTGAAAACTTGAAGAGGAGCAAATCTGTACAAAAAGCATAATATGCAGGAGGAAGTAGAGAGTAATGAATTGACATTATTCATAAGCTCAGGGATTTATGTAACTGTAATTGGGAATTACATGGAGAAGGAGCGGTTGAGATGATCATGAAAGGAACGTTAATTCTGTATTTTAAAGACAGGCATCGACATCCGTAGATCTATTTAAAACTTGCCTGTTCTAAAAATTTCAACTGCAAATAAATGAGACTGGAAGAGGAGGTCTTTAGAAGAGACAAGAACTGGGCTGGAACACTTTTAAATGAACAGGACACACAAAGAGTTCTTAAATTGCCACAGTAAAGACTTCAGGTCATGATTGTTTCGAGATAGAGGAAAATCAAGCTCACTGTGGGGAGCAGGGAGACAGGAGGCTGATGACACAGTTTGCCTGTTGTAACACAGTCTCTATGGCTTTTTGCATTGCAACTCTTCTGTCATGCAGTTATGTTATGAGGATGTTATATGTGATAAACATGGGTTTGAGCCTTACAGGTAATATAATGTATAAATAGCCTTGAGAATAGGTAAACAAGTTGTAAATGGTGATTCACCAGAAACAAAATGGTAGATTTCTGGGTTTTGTGAGAAGCACTAAGTGAGACACTATATACACAGCATGCATCCCTTCAGGCACCTCACTTGGAGGTAAAATTCCAGTGACTTTGTTTTAGTATAATTGCTTTTGAATAGATAAGCTGATGTACATTAGCTTCTTGTAAGAAAAATTCCCTGTGTCGGTATCCCCATGCGTGCAGCCAAAAGACAGGAGAAAATTGCAAGGAAAATAGAAAGTCAGTGAAATAATCTTCATAAAGTTCAGCATGGTGGAATCTCTGTCTGTGTGTGCAGGGAAATGAGAGGCTCCAGGAATTTAGTATATCAAATATCCGATTCTTAAGACCTTGTCTTTGACGGCTGTGTACCACATGTAGAGATGGAAGCAGTGACCTGTGCTGTTACTCAACCCTTTCCACAGTAAGATCCTGTTTTTACTTACAACTTACTCGAATTGCAGTAATTGAGGCTGAAATTTTCCATGAAACTGCGGTCGAGGAGTTGTCATGATGTCAACGCAGCAATAAACCCACACTAAGCTCCCTGCAAAATCAGCCTCTGAAAACATGGAGGCTTTTGCCTGTCTTCATTTCTCTGTGTGCCAGATTTCCCTCGGAGGGATGGTGTTTGCTACTTGATGTTATTAGGATAAGTCCATGCAGTTTGTGTAGCACACTTACGATATAGATCAATGGTATGATAAGGCCATGAGGAACTTTGCATTTGATGTATTGTTGGGTATTAGTTAAGACAAAGCCTTGCTAAGGCTGGAGTTAAAAGCATCATGCAGCAGTGGTATCAACCTTCCTACGTGAGCTGTGCACCCAAAGCACTGCTGCAGGTATGAGATGCTCTCAAAGCAAGTCCTGGCAGTATCAGAGTCATCACTTTTGCATGCGTTTATGAATATCTGCCTCATTCTTCTTATCTCTTTGTTTTTTCATAGTGAGTGTTGAAAAAGTGGAATTAAAGGGACTGGCACACAAGAAGAATGAAAGAAGTGTCGAATATTCCTTTGAGGTAAGATTGGTTTTCTACTATGAAAGAAAGGAGAATAATAATACTTAAGGAGGAGTTAAAGAAATTCTCAGACCTCATTGCTGGATCCCAGAAATAGGTCTAGTGGAGCTTCTTTGAGACAAATGCTAGTCTTATTTTTTAATCAGTGGTTTGGAAGTAGTCATAAATGGCTGGTTATGAACATATGTGGGTGATGCAGAGATTGTCTGGTAAGTGGGACACAGGCAAAATAGATACATTCACTCTAATGCAGCAAGTTACGGCTAAGTATATATTTAGGGGGAAATATCATGCCACACTTACAGAACAGTTACCCTTGGGCTGAATGCAGAAGCTAGAAAGAATTTAAGTCTTAATCTGGACAGATGAGAATTTAGACTCTGTGGGTACTGCTGCACATACTGGAAAAGAGGCAGGATGGTCATTTATCTTTGCATTCAGCACTGAGGGGAGTGTGAGGCTGTGGTGTATCCTTCAGGCATTACTGATTGTAAAAGGAGTGTTGAGAAGGACAGAAAATAGCCCTGGAAATTATTCAAAGCTTGAGGAAAATGCCATGTAGTGAGAGACTTAAAGAACTTGACTGAAAGATGATTTTCAGTATCCTATAGAAGTGTTTTCAAAGGGAAGAAGATGTTGCACTGTAAAGGCGGTGTTAATCTAGCAGAAAAAGGCATAACAGGAACCGAGGTCTGAAAATTGAAGCCAGACTAATTCAAACTGGAAGTGAGAATAGTTTCTTTGGAATGAGGGTGGTTAGCCACAGAGTGCTGGGAGAAGTGGCTTCCCCTCCTATTCACGCAGCTTTTGGAGGTCCGGTCATTGCTCACAGTTTCTGTGGAAGGATGACTTCATTGTGTGAAGCCTCGTGTTAATAGCAGAGACTGGATTCTGGGTGCTGGCGAGCAAGAATGGCAAACTGCTTTTCTTCCATCTAGTTGGAATGATGTATTCCAAAATTCAGGCTGCAAAGCCCAGAAAATGTCTTTGGTTTGCTTAATGAGGCGGCGGAGCCAAACAGTTGGTGAGAAAAGGAGAACCCGAAAGGAAACAGCAGAATTTCAATTCTCTGCAATTTTATCAAAAAGAAAAAGTTACTCTTTAAAACTACCACCCCAGATCAGTTCAGCATCTGCTTCTGACGTTGACAGCATTAACCTCTGCGTGACTTGATATTGTTCTGTGTTTTCCAGATCCCATGATTGTTCCAAACATCAATATTAGAAAGGAGTTTTTCAAGGGATTTTAAAAATCACTACGAAACATGCAGTTACATATTAGTGTTTTGTGAAACATCTTTTCCTGTTATGAATTCTTCTGTAAATACCAGAAATTACTTTTACCAGTATTTCACTTGACAGCTTATAGCTGAAGGAATAGTATGTAATTTAGTTGAGCTAATAAATTGCTGTTTTCTCGGTTAGAAACCCAACCATTAAATGTTTTGTTTAGCAGCTTGGGAATAGAAGGTCAATAGAGTAGTTTAGTGTTTTCAGCATCGCTTTGTAATGTTATTGTTCTCTGCATTTATGATTCATATTTTTGTTTTATAAGTATTGAAAATTATAACCAGTTGGCGAAATGGAAGTCATAACAAATACTGGGTTATTACAAAACCAGAAAGAAAGAGAAAGTTCTAGATTTTTCTGAAATTTCTCATGAATTCTAAAAAAAGTATTCTTTTATCGTGAGCGTTAAGAAGAACCCAACAAAAAAACCCCGCAGGCTTTGTAAAAACAGAAACTGCTTAAGTTTCTCGTCTTTTCTTTTTCCTTATGTTTTTGTGTAATAGCTCTTCAGAGAGGAAATTCCTCCATTATGTAATGTATTTTGAAATACTCTCCTCTCACCAGTCGTTTTGGCAGCATTCTGGTGGCTGGAAAAACTTTGTGCGTGTTTTCAGTTGTCATTGAAACTAGTGTCATGTGAGAAGTTGGTCGCCTGGTTCTTAACACGTAAATCCAGCTTCCTCCCCTATAGAACGGATGAAGATCCATATGCTTCCCAGACACTGTGAACAGATACCTGAAGTCTGAAGGCATTTATCGCTGGCTGGTCTCATGCTGATGTCCATTGTGCCAAGAAATCCTGGCTTTGGCTCAGTTAAACTAATCATCTACCACGCAATAAAAGCCCCTGTATCTAAGAATGTAATGACTTAATGCATATGGGAAGAGATACTGAACCCTTTCCTTCTTCTAGGGCATATACAAGATGGTGTCTAAAGAGTGTAGCTAGAGCAGGAACTGCAGGTTTCCTTTCTAAGGCTCTGCCTTTCTTTGCAGTGCGGTGATTTGCTGCCATCTTCAACTTTGCATGGCATATGGAGTTGATTAATTATAAATAGGCACTGTTGTGCTGTGGCGAGTTGTTCATATTGAACATCAGATCCTACAAACCAGCTGTTTTCTTTAACAGTAATGAGAGAAAAAAGTTTCCATTACTTAGTAGTCTGTTGCTTAATACTGGACGTCTGCAGCGTGCAATGGCTGTGTAAACTATGAAGTGCTTTTTTAAGCATTCAGAATAGCTGTTAAGTATAATAACAGCAAGGGAGGACTGAGTAATGGTTACTTGTGCACAAAAGAGAGATTTTCCTTATTGCTGTCACACATAACGAACTGTCCTGAAGTCTGGGGGTGATATTTGATGACCATAATTGATCTTTTGGAACTATACTTTAGTCCCTGATCATTAGTTACTAACTGAATCCTTTTTACTTCCTAAGGTCCTGTGGTCTGATTCTTCAGTGACGTTGGTAACCAAATCTTCCTCTGAAGTGACTGATTTTATCTCAAAGGTAAAGGTGATACCAGAAACACTTTGAACACAGGAAGATGTTTCATCCCTCTGTGTAGTTTTGTCAAATGACATTTTTAGATATGCTGAGATAATGCAGATTGAATTTCATAAAATGTTTGACTTATAAATTGCTGTGCATTGAATCTCATACGAGTAACGTCTTCTTTTCACTTATTATTTGTTATAACCTCCACATTTAGCTGTCTCAGCTGTATCCAGAAGAAAACTTGGAGAAATTCATTCCTTGCCTAGCCGGTCCAGATTCATTTTACCTAGAACGGAACCACATGGACCTGGAATCAGACCTTAGGTATGCTGGGATTTCTGTTGTTGTGGGTTTTTAACTTGGCTTTTTTCACCAAGTGGAAGGAAAAAAAAAACCCAGGAAATAGAAATAATACATTCCTATTCTGAATTACTTTCAAGAAATTAGAGGCTCATCCTGAGCATTATTTCTTGATGTTCTACTAATTCCAGCATGGAAGAATTTTCTAGGAATTTTTCCTTCAGAAATACAGATGGCAATAATATTCAGTATTAAGCTTCCTGGAGAATTGACATTTCCTAATGCCTTATTCAAAACAAATACAGGATCATGGGCTTTGCAGAAGCTTGGTTTAGGCTCAAAAAATAGCCAGAAAACTCAGGAAAAATACAGCTGCCTCAAAAGTCATCCTTCTGTATTGAGGGATGGGTTGTGGGCATTTTCTTTTCTACCCTTATCCCTTTAGAGAGTTTTTGTATTGTCTCAGTTGTTTTAGGTTGTCATGGTATTTATTTTAGTTTTTAAAAGGTAGGTATGTGTATATATATGTATGTATATATAATAGCCATTAAATCCGTGGAAGCCATTAGCAGCCAAGAGGTTTTTAAAGCCTTAGACAGTACCTCCTCAAGTTACCACAAATCACCTGGCCATTATCTAATCTGAACTGCCATCTGTGGCAGGTCACATCACATCTCGCTTTCTAAATACAATAGTTTTGCCAGGAGGATTTGAAGGACTTAAACTATTGTCAGCTACTACTGTCTTTATCTATGCAAAGTATTAAATGGCATTTAAAAATACTAATTAACTTTTGTTAGAGCTTCTGCTAAACACCTATTTTCCCTAAGTCCAGACTGGCAGAGCCACCCTGGATATTGGTTTTCCATAGTCAGAGCCAGCAGGTACATGCGTAGATTATTGTTAATGGCAAACAGCATTAACGTTTCACATAGTCCCTTCTGTGCTTTGAGAATCACAGGCTATTGACAGGACTTAGGGAGGGTAAGGAAGAATGCATGCTGATGCTGTTCAGCCTGCTGAACAGCAGTCTCTGCAAATCTGGGTTAATGGAGCAGCAGTCTGTGTTCACAGAGCAGTGCTTGCATCTCTGGAGCAGAGAAAGAAGCTGTTCTGTTAAATGCTGCATGGATGAAATATTCAGAAATTTAACTGATTTTTCAGGGTGGAAAGCATGTTTGCGTGCATGTGTACGGTTGAGTTATTTTTTACTCAAAGACACTTAAAATGGTAAAGATACGGTCAAAATGGTCTCTTTAAAACCATTTTCTGTATGTTTTTGACATCTGTAGATTTGGCAACAGTTTTTGCATGACCATGAGAAGTTTATACATGTTGATGGAGCACGCTTTTTATGCATTACAAAGTTTTAGGAGATTTTCCCTCAAAAGAGGCACGGCAATCCCAAAGCAAATGTGACATAAGTTTTACAGCCTTTTTCCCTACACTGCCAGACTCTGCATCTGCTGTTTATCTCCAGGAGGAGAAAATGAAATAACAGATACATCTATATTTTATGGTCTTCGGATTCGTGAATTTGAAGGGAAATTTCCAAGTTTATATTTGAACATTTTCTGCTTTACACGCATTCAGTGTTCCTAAATTAAGCATCTTTACCGAAACACTCAAGAGAGTGAAAGCAACACAATGGTAGCGCATTTAAGTAATATTCAGTGTGAGAACATCCATAATTTGATTCAGTATTGCATGGTGTTATTAATTTGAAAAGGTCTTTTATGTTTCAATTTTAAAATCTCCAATTCACTTTCAAAACGTTATTTACAGTCTGTAATCTTGACTTTATGGGCAGCTCCAAATCAAACATAACAGAATGGGGGGGGTTGTTTGCTTTTGATGAACATGCAGGTATTTGGCACCGTTACCTTCCCATGTGGTGAAAAATGACCACGTTAGGAAGTTCTTCAGCACTTCATCTCCTTCACAGCAACTTCAGAGTTCGAGTAAGTTTAAATAAAGCTTAAAAATGAATTTTTTTGTACAGATGCAAATTTCATAAACAGATGCCACTTGTAACTTCTGTTCCCTGTTTCTAGATCCTGGCAACCCCTCCCTTTATAAAGTAGGAACCACGCTGGGAACATCTGGAAGGTGAAACTTTTATTATGTTTACGTTTGTTCTGGTTAGTTGCAAAACCCCATCACATCAGGAACTATCTGTCCTTGGAAGTTATGAAATCAGCAGTGGCTGTCTTGCCCTAGGAAATGTGTATGTTCAGGGAAGAATTTGGGGAAACCTTTTGACCAGGGTTTACATGGGAGATAAGATCAGAGGATTGCAGTGATCCTGCTGGCTGGCAGTAAAACCTGCTCTGAGCAGCCTTTCTCTAAAGGTTTACAGCTGTAGCTGCTAGTTGGCATCAACATTTCAATGCTGAGCTGTGGTGATGGATGATTTCTTTGTGATACCCTGCTTACTGCAGAAGCGGTAATGGTCTCAATTACCTACTTAGAAGGAATTGGTTTGAATCTGAATCATAGGTGTGTCATCCCTAGTACAGGTCTTTGTGGTCAGAGGGAGATTAGAGCATCTCGGGAAGGGTATTTTTCTTTCTACAGGATGTTTGAATGTTTCTTTTTACAGCAGGGGGTTCATTTCTGGGGGAAGAGGAGACCTCTTCCAGGGGAGGCAGAAATCAGCCTTGGGAGGAAAGAAATTGTCTTGCCTTTTGTTAGGATTTAACAAACTCGGAACTCATTCTCTGAAGAGGCAATTTTCATTTTCTTCTACAAAAACAGGACCTTCCAAGGAGCCAAAATTGGGGGTTATTTTGCCACTTACACATGTAAAAATTTCCATAGGATTATAATTTGGGCTTCTTTTTAATAATGCCAAGAATTACAATAAACTATGGTCATTCTCTCTAAACTTCTTTTAAACACAGAGGTAGTAGACAGTACATCATCTGTGATTATAGAAGGAAATGTCTGCTTAAGCTAAAGATAACACTATTTGCCCTAAGATGCACTGTTCTTATTGTGGTATTGAACAGCAGAGATACAAATCTCCAAGTTGGATCCAGCAGTTCAGAATTTACTAGAAATCCTGGAAGTGGTACATTTGCATGGCCATAGTAGCTTGAACTATGGGTGAGACAGATTCAATGTGCTAAACTGAACTGTATTACTCCTTTGCAGACCTATATGTGGAGTGGCTGGCATTCAGTCTTCTCAGAATCACGTTCAACACTCAGCTGCTGCTCCCGTTGCACTACCCCACTGTTCCCATGCAGGAGGTACCGGCTCGTCGCTGGCCTATCGCACTCAGATGGACACCTCTTCTTCACCCATGTTAATGTCTTCCAGTCCACAGACTCCTCAGACACAGGAGCAAAACGGGATCTTAGACTGGCTCAGGAAACTGCGGTTGCACAAATACTATCCTGTCTTCAAACAGCTCACGATGGAGAAGGTAGGGCAGTGGATTAAGAGAAGGGAGGTAGCTTTTAAATCATACTCACGTTCTCTAGTGCAGAGAGAGAGGCTGCAAACATCTGCATTGAGAATTGCAGAAGTTACTGGCAAATGTTGTGTTTTGCTCTCTTGAAGCACTAGTATTTTGATGAGAACCTTTCTGGTTGGCTCTGTGTTGTGTTTGGGCCTGAGCTGTTCCACAGCTGCCTCCTGCTTCAGAGTGCTTCACTGAATGCTTGAAGATCCGTCTTGCATGCGGCCTCAGGAGCTCTGCTTTGGCTCCTTGTTCATCCCTTCGATGTGCAGCACATAACTAAAATTTGTAGGGGCTTTTTTTATTATCATTTCTGCTTCTTGGTGGATTTTTCTCCAAAAACTATTTGGTTATCCTGATTTTAGAGAATAGATTGACAAGACTTCTGAAATGAACATCAGTGTGCGTGTACCTGCAAGTGAACGCGAGGCTTTTGTTTTCTGCAGAAATTCTTGTGGGAAAGCAATCCCTTGTATATTTGCACAATAAGAGTCACAAATTACACTTCTGTGTGCTGGGTTTTGTCTAAGTGGAATACATTCGCAGCATTTACCCAGCTCCATCTATAAAACTCGTGTAATCTTTCTGTTTTAGCCTTGAACGCCCTCCAGTGGAGCAAGTGCTTAGGTCCAGGTCTAGGTTGGAGTGGCTTTACGCTGGTTGTAGAATGTTGGACAGATTTAATCCTAATCTGTTACCAGAGTCTTCTGATTCGATTTTCTTCATTATGTGACGGAAATCTATAGTGTTTCGTTCTCTAATAAAGTAGCAAAACCGTGCATATTCTAGTGTGTTTTTAATAAGCATGCACTATTACGCATACTTTGCTGGCTTTGATTTTCATTACATTATAAATGTATATATTACAATTTCATATTCTATGTCTATATTTTGTTATAAGGTTTAATTTTGGAGTATATTTTCTAATTAAACTGATGAGTTGACTGCATATTGATTTCTGTGTTAAAACGACACAACTAGGAAAACTAGAGTGGGGGTTTTTTCAGAGAAACGGATCCTTAAACCCATTTGTAGCACAAAATTCCATTCTAATATGTACACAAATTATTCCACCTTTATTGTGAGTAGTTAATATAAGCACACACCTAATTAAATTTAACCTACAGATGTTCTCTCTTTTGCGCTGGTTTCCCCCACTTTCTGTCTGCGCTGATTCTATAACCAAAAACTAGAGCGGAGAGTTTCTTTGAATTAACGTGTTAAAAAATGGCTTTAAAGTTGCCTTCCGGAGTTGATCTCAATTAAAAATGTAAATAAGAATGTTCCAGGTTGTAAAACTTAACCACTCATTGTTTTTCTTTACAAGTTTCTGAGTCTTACTGAGGAAGATCTGAATAAGTTTGAATCCCTCACCATGGGAGCAAAGAAGAAGCTCAAGACCCAGCTAGAGCTGGAGAAGTAAGTATGCAGGGGGGGAAACTGGCTTTTTAAGGCCGTATTTAACGCAAGTTTTATGATGGCCTTTGCTTTCTAGAGCATATACCTACCAGTATTCCCAGCTGTCAATATGGGTAATGTTTATCTCACTTCCTCTGAAGATGTGTTGGTTACTGTGAAAAGCTCTTACCAGATAATATCTATTACTGGTTCACTGTCGCCTGTTCATGGTTGTGGTAGGGATAACCAAATGGAAAGAGTTTGTGAACTCTGTTTTAAAAGGATACAACAACCCAGTCAAACCCAGATAAACATCTGTTGTCATCTCCTCTCACGAAGGTCGCACCTTCATGATCTTAATATTGCCAGACATAATATTTCCAGTGCTCTGTGCAGTATTAATAGCCCTTTGGGTAAACTGATGTAACAGACTGTCCTATTTTTTGCATCTCCTCTTAGAGGGAAATGTTTGTTCTGAAGCTTCTGCAGTTACATTAAAAGTAATTAAAAATCCAAATCCAAGCCCATTTATCAAAGCTCCTTGACAGCACTTTTCATCAGTCTTAGTTTTTTTCCAGATTGTGTTTACAAAATGAAAACTTGGAGCTGCATTTGTCTTCTCTTTGGTTTTGGTGTGCATAGGTATGTTTGGGATGTGCTTACATCATATGTGGTAGGATTTAATCACTGTTGGGTGATATTTTAGCCTGTACAAATAAGAGCATTAGTTTTGTAACCAGACATTGCACAGTCCAAATGTAACTGCTGGCAAGAAGCTGTGGTCACAATTGATGTGATTTCCAAACATTTGCAGTTGGCATTCGCATAGCATTTAGTGGGTTATTTAGTGGGCTCTGTCTGCTTTGGTTTCATTCAGAAATTGATTTATCTGTCGTTGTGCGTTAGCCATTTTCTGTTTCCTCATACGTTTCTCCATCACCCCATAGAGAAAAGTCGGAGAAACGGTGCCTAAACCCCTCAACACCTTCTTCAGTTACCAGCAGCGGTGTGGCGAGGGTCCCCCCTACTACACATGTAGGGCCAATCCAGAGTATTCGTGGCAACCATGCTGCAGGTAAGAAAGAGGAGCAAAGGGCACTGCTGTGCTCTGGGGGCTGAATGTGACCTTGCACAAGAGCAAGCTCATTCTTACAGTGCTTTTTCACCAACCCATCATAAGCTTTATCTTCCAAAATGTCATTGGCTTAATGGGGAGCAATCAAAAAGTCTGATTCCTTATTGTGAGGGTGCTGAGGCGCTGGCACAGGGTGCCCAGAGAAGCTGTGGCCGCCCCATCCCTGGCAGTGCTCAAGGCCAGGTTGGACACAGGGGCTTGGAGCAACCTGCTCCAGTGGAAGGGGTCCCTGCCCATGGCAGGGGTTGGAGCTGGAGGAGCTCTAAGGTCCCTTCCAACCCAGACCATTCTGGGATTCTATGATTCCTGTGTATGTGTAGTGCAATAAAAAGTGGTTTCCTCCTTGTGGGTTCCATGTGAATGGCTGGCTGCACTGGTCAGCAATTGTTACAGCTCCAGACTGCTGCTCCTTAGCCGATGTGTGTCTGTAAACCTTGAGCACCACTGTATGTTCAATGGTGTCATGAAACAGTTGTAATTAAGTCCTGCCAAGTAGGGGTCACCACTCGCATCTGCACTACCTGACGGCTTGTACACCCTTTATTTGCAGAGCTGCGAGTGGATGTGGATCAGCCAGCTCACCCCTTGCCCCGTGAGGGCAGCTCATCTGAGTATTCCAGCTCTTCTTCCAGCCCCATGGGGATCCAGACAAGGGAAGAGAGCTCGGACAGCGCTGAGGAGAACGACAGACGTAAGCAGAACCAAGCAGAGAGGGTGCCTGTGTTGCCCAGCTTTGTCTAGTGAAGCTGTTGTACTTACGGACGTTTCTGTCCCTAGGTTTGGAGATTCACTTAGATGGTTCTGAAAAGGAGAAGCCAGTGATGTTACTGAATCATTTTGCTTCAAGCTCTGCCAGACCCACAGCTCAAGTCTTGCCAGTGCAAAACGACGCAGGCTCCAATCCGTCCAGCCACCACGCTCTGCCCATGCAAATGATGTCAGCGGCCTCTACTCACATCACCCCCATTCGGATGCTAAACTCAGTGCATAAATCAGAGCGTGGCAATGGAGACATGAAGCTCCTCTCATCGTCCATGCATTCTCTTTTATCTTTAGAAGAGAGAAATAAAGTTTCTCCTGGATCTAGGGGCAGCATTAAAATGGAAAAGAGCTTTGGAAATACAGTGGTGGATGTAATGTCTGCATCTTCTCCCCACCAGCCCTTGCAAGTGCTGTCAGGGGCTGCGGAGAACAGCTCACCCACTTCTACTATTAACTTTGGTCCTCGAACCAAAGTTGTGCATGCTTCAACTCTGGACAGAGTGATAAAAACAGCTCAGCAGCCAGGATTAATAGTAGAAACGAGTACCGCTGCCACTGTAACATCCAGCACAGTCTTCCACGTGGCTCGTCCACCCATCAAACTCCTGGTGTCTTCGTCTCTTCCTACTGATCCTGCCATTGCCGGACAGACTTCCTGCTCCAGTAATATGCAAATAACGGTGTCCCCTGCAATAATAAATCCCCGGACTGCTCTGTACACAGCCAACACCAAAGTTGCCTTTTCTGCAATGAGCAGCGTGCCAGTGGCCCCAATGCAAGGCAGCTTCTGTGCAAACAGCAACGCAGCCTCCTCCAGCAGCCACCCATCCACATCCTACGCGACCATGGCCAACCTGCCCAGCTGCCCCGCACCCAGCTCCAGCCCCACGCTCTCCTCTGTTGCCGACAACAACTTCTACAGCAGCAGCAGCAGCAGCAGTAGCAGCAGCAGCAGCGGCAGCAGCGGATCCGCAGGGAGCATCCCGGTACCAAACCAGAACCACCACCACCATCACCACCAGCAGCAGCAGCCGCAGCCGCAGCCGCCCGGGTGCATGGTGTGCAGCTCCTGCGGGTGCAGTGGGAACTGCGGCACCGGCGGTATGACCGTCAGCTACGCCAACTATTTCCAGCACCCATTTTCAGGCCCGTCAATGTTTACTTTTCCGTTTCTGCCCTTCAACCCTCTGTGTAGTAACGGCTACATCAACACGCAGCAGTACAACAGCAGCACGACCTTCCCCGTGGTCCACACCGCTTACAACAGCGGCATAGCACCGGACTCCATGATGGCCGGGCAGTCGACGTTTGCGGTACCGCCGATGCAGAACTTTATGGCAGGGACAGCAGGGGTGTACCAGGCACAGGGAATGATGGGAAACAGCAATGGTTCGAGTCACAAAAAAAACGGGAATCTCTCCTGTTACAACTGCGGGGCCAGTGGTCACAGAGCTCAGGACTGCAAACAGCCTCCCATGGATTTCAATCGACAAGGTAAAAGCAGGAGGAGGGACTGATGCAGGATGCAGCTTACAGTGGCTGCATGCCCTGAGGGCTGGTGGGAGGCTGATGGCAGTGCCCTGTCTTTTAACTTCTGACTTGCATAAAGACGTCTTGTTCTTGGAAGCTGGTGGGGTTTTAGCTGTATTTGCAGATTCTTTTGTGCAGACCCAGTGCAAGTACATAGGGCCCAAGGAAAGCCCTGGGTCCGCTGCTTTACACCTTGTCATCCAGGTCATCTTTGGTTCTAATGGGCAACTTCCCCTGGATGTTTACAAACTGAACAGCTCTGTTCCCCCTTTCCCTTCCTGAAATAGTAACCCAAATGGTGAGTTACTGTTCAGATGCTTCTGAAGGTCCCGTGTTTGCTGCTATAATTATTTTGTAGGGCATGTTGCTTACACAGTTACAGACCTGGCTTCCCCAGGAGAGAGCTGAAATCCTTAATTCCAGGTGGGAAACAACTAAGAGAGAACATTACGTTTACTGAGAGCACTTTCTAGTCCCATTTTTCTCTTACATCTGGATTGACACACTGTGTTGGGATCATTTGCATGTGGTGTAGGCTTCAAAAATGAAACGTGAACTTTTGACTGGAGGGAACTGCACTGAGGGGTTCATTTTACACAGTGTGTTGTCTGTAGTGGGTGTCTGTGTTTGGTTTTATATGGTGCAGACAAGTATTTGAACACTGTACATTAACAAGTGACTTGGTTTTGAGGCAGCACTTGACAGCACTGCTAAAACGTATGTAATTAGTGCTGTTTCTGTGGATAACATATTGATTGTGGCCAGTTGGGGAAGAACCAACACTGCCTCATCAGTCCTAATCCAGAGGACTTCAGAAACACAGCCCAATGTCTTTTTAAGATGAATTTCATTTCGTTAATTAATTTTCCATTCAAATTACCCCAAATGAATTTTTGCCAGCCCTAAAAGTGCATCTAAGCCAGTGACTTGACTTTGACTGCGTTAAACCAAGCTTTGATGTTCAGCTCCACCAGCTGCAGACATGTTTGTCAGCCTCTCCTGTAGCTTCAGCACCATGGCATGGTGCTGTAATTACACATGTAATACTGTGTTACGTGCCCAATAAGAAGCAGTTTGGTTTAGCAAGTGCAGGGATGTAATGGATGTGAGGGAGTTGATGTTTAATTCTTGTGTTTCCCCTTCTCCAGGTACGTTTAGGCTGAAGTACGCCCCTCCCTCTGAAAGTCTTGACTCCACAGACTGATATTTTATCATCTGGCAAGAAAATACTGTAAGCCATGGAGATACAAGGAGATTGAACTACAAAACTGAGACGTCCAGTTGCTGTTAAGCTTAATGTATTTTTTAATCCAAAGGTGCTTTACTTTATTAGACTAGGTAGAAAATCTAGCTTTTAGGGGTGCATCGAACCCATTTTTGATTGCCAAATTCAAGCTTGGATCTTGTTGCTGGAACTTCTGACTCCGTGTCATGGGATTGATGGATGGATGGTGGAGCTGGCCTTGATGCGAGTACAACATCCAAGGTACTTACTTTTTGCTGGAGCCACGTTGCCACACGTGGACTTCCAAAGGGGGAAGCATTGAGTTCCAGGGCAGCTTCATTCTGAGGTGGAAGCTGGAGGCTGGAGGTGGGAGCAGCCGTTTGGAAGGACTTTGGCACCCCTGGGCTGGGTAAAATGTCTACTTTTTTTCAAAAGTGATCAGGCACTAATCTCTGGGATTATTGGGGATTGCACTACAGAAGAATGTAAAACCCTTCGAGCTTTCTGCACTTCCAGCAGTGTCACCCTGAGACCAGTGCAAGAGGCAGAGAAGTTCCAGCTGTTAACAGCTGGCACCAGCAGGCGATAACGTGGCTTAACCCACACAATAGAAGTCTGAAGTAAGTGTCTCCTTTTTCCCTACCAAAAGAACACAAACACAGTGGTTTCGGTTCCTTCTGGAAACAAACTTGTGCTTCACTGTCTCACTTATTGCTAGATAGTGCTGGGTTCCCAGCGGTGGAATAGACTTTAGTTTCCAAGGGTCCAAGTCCCAGAGACTCCAGAGTCATAAAGGCTTCAAGGATATATTCCTGTAATACACAAAACCTTTACGTCCTGTTACTGTATATAGGTCTCTTTCACAGAAACCTTATTATTCTGCTTTTGTAAATGAGTTTTAAACCATCCTAAAAGGAAAAAAAAAAAAAAAAAGGAAAAAAAAAGAAAAAATAACTCTGTCAGCAGAGTTTGTAAGCTTTTGCTTTACTTCATATAAAACAATACCCCTTTGACTCCTACCCAGAGGCTTTTGCTACAGGATTCAGAAGTAGTAGAAGTCAAACATGTAAAAGGTAGTAAACTTCATTATTATCAAGACACTGACGGGCTTCTCGTCAGCCTCCTTCGTTGCAATAGATTGTAGATGACTAGCTTTGGTATTAACTACTTAGCGTACATCATTTGTGGGTGACAAATCTAAATTAGGACTCGAGAGGAAGCCAAGCAAATCCTGAACTGCTAATTTGAAAGTTTGGTCCTGCCTGCTTGAAAGAAGATACTGATCCTCATGGCTCACCATCTGACAGCATTAGGTGGGTCTTTTCTATCGTAGAGATATTTCCTTGCTGTAACTGGGAAAACATCTTGAAAGTCCAAAGCCTTGTTTACACTTGGAGGTATTTCTTACACCAACTTAAACCACACCAGGATGAAGGGTACATGTAGTGGTGCAGCCAGTTTCGCTTGGAAGAGAAGGAAGTTGCATTGGAGGTGAAATGTCCGTGTGAGGGGGTGATGCAGGAGCTTGACAGCTGAGACCTTTCTGGACCATAGCAAAGGAATGTTCTGGGCCATCCTTCAGCCCCGTGTGCTCAGGGGGCAGTTGTCAGCCTCATCAGAGCAGGATAAAGAGCATTGTCAGAGAGGCACAGCAGCGTGAGATGGCCCGGAACCAGGCTCGGTCCAGGTAGTGATGTGTGGCTCATAGTGGATGTGGCTTCATGGAAACCCAAATCTAAAATCACATAATGTTTGGTTTTAAAGCAAAATGGATGAATTTTTACTTCCTATGCAATGAAGCAGAAAGATTTGTGCATCCTCATCCCAGCTCACACGCCCTGCGGTACCACACGCGGCTATGGAGATGCTTCCATCGCTCTGCCCGCGCTGGAAGAGGTTCCCTGAGCTCTAACCACCGACCTTCAGACCTACAACACTAAAGTGATGAAAACTGACAATGCAATTTACTTTGCCTTAATGAGCTTGAGACAATGGGAGGAACAATCTGTCGTACTGTGTTACGCTGAGGAAACGCGCAGTTTTCAGTGGTGATGTTTACTCTTTACAGCTTTGGGGGGTCTCTCCAGTGGCCTGGAACATGTGCTGAAAGCCAAACCTTTATTTTGTTTTAGTGGGGGTTTTTTTCCACTTTTTTTTAAACAAGACTTTCAGAATGAATTGTATTGAAAACTGTTACTTTTAACACACATGCAGGTGTTAAAAACCCTCTCAAAATAGCAAAAATCAACAGCAAAAAAGTAAGGAATACTAATTTCTGTACCACTTCTGTTTTGGTTTAATGCCCAGAGCTGGGCACAGCGTGTCGTCTAACATTCATCAGTGTCGAAACTGTCACAAAACGACTGTCAGACTGAACCTGTATCCAGCAAACTTTCATTCCTTTCTTCAGAGCTGTCTTTGGGATCGTTTCCTTTGTGTGAAGTTAAGGCTGATGTTTCTTAAGTGGCTTACGTGTACTTTTAGGTAATGATTTTAAGTGGCAAAGCCTGGTTTTAGGGTAAGTTCAACTTCAGAAGTCTCAAGTACCATAAAGCAGTGTGAGTGTTTGATGAGCTAAACAACGATTCCCAAGCTTTCCCTACACCCAGCGAGCTGTGGCTCTGGATCTGTGAGCAAACGCTGTTCAAAGTACCACAGACCACCAAAGTCGGTAAGTCTGAACAGAGCACTTCAGGTCTGTCAAACGACCCTTACATCTGTCTTTAAAAGGCACAAATCCATCTTTTCACCCCCCAAAAAGCAAGGCAGCTTGTTTTAGAATTGTAGTTCTAGCTTCGCTGAAAGAACCAGTTCTTAAAACCTATTTTTATACATTGAGAGATGGGGATTTCAAAGAAAGCTATTTATTCCTGTGTCCTAGAAGGATCAAAAGAATTAGTTCTCAAAGTGGATTTCACTGTGGAGTGGAAGTGATTTTTAAACGCAAAGGAGAAAGGGAATCCCAAGTCCTTCCCTGCAGGGGCACGGAGAAGTTAGCCTCGAGGCTTCCATTGGGAGGAGCAAACAGCGTGCGGTTTCCATTTGGGAGTGTTGGCAATGGGAATACTGGAAATGGGATGGAATTCCCAGCAAGCTCCTCGTCACGCTGGCAGCCTGGAATTGACGTGTTAATAACTAGGCCAGGCTGACGCCCAGCAGCAGGAGGGTGAAAAGGGAAGCCTCACTGCATCAAATGGGGTATGGATCAGAGCACTCCATGAGGCTCCTCCTTCAGAGCACGCTGCACTCCCCTTTTTGTGGAACCTTGTCATGCCACGGTCTGTAAATCCTGGCAAATTAAGTGCCAGGCTTCCAAAAATAACAGGTTAACTAACGCCGGGCCTCGCCATTACCCGGATTCCATCCCGTGCTATTCCTGGCCGGAGAGCTGCAGGGTGAGGGTACTCGGAAATGAAACACAGCCTGGTTCCTGCCCAGAATAAACCTGACATCATCTGAACCCCCAGCACGTGGGTTCGCTGCCTGGTTGGTTACCAGAGGGCACGGAGCTCGGAGCTGTGCGTTCGGGATAGTGTGGAATGCTGTTAAATGAGAGGGATGTGAGCAGAGCTGGAGAGAAATCCGTGTGACTGAGCGCTTCCAGAGGCCAGGAAACACATTGGGTGGGAGAGGCTGCAGCCTGACTACACCTCCTGTACCGAGCCCTTGGATCTGCCCCTTTGCTCCCTTCCATTTTTCCTCACGTAAGGAAGAACCGTGTTGGTACTGAAGCAGAAAGCAAATCCTGTGTGTTTTCAAGTGCAGTTTAATAGCTTCTCTTGGACATAACTTTCCACTAGGAATGAAGGAAACTCCTGCTCCATTTGAGCCATTTCTTTTACTTCAGTCAATTCTAGTATTATAAATTGTGCATGTAACTTTATAAATATTTTAAATAGTTTTGTAAATATTTAATATTCAGCTAATTTGATTTTGAATTGTAAATGTCAAGTATTCTGGTATTGGGATTTTTATGTTTTATTATACTTTGTTAAAAGTAAAATTGTACATTTTTAGAATGTTTTTATCTGAGTAAATTTAATGTATGGAAAATAAAGAATTAAACAGAATCCCTTTGTATTTTTCTTAATTTAAAGGGGCTTCACCTATGTGGGGGCTTCTCCTGCCTGGCACTTACCAGGGGGCTTTAATTCCTTTAACTGCTGCTGCTGTCTCTCCACCTACAGACATCTGTCTGTCAGCACAAATCCATCCTGATGCTTGCAACCTCTTGGATCCTGGCTGCGCCAAGGAAAGATGCTCTGAAAGGGTTTGTTACCCAGAGTGGCCCAACTCCAGTGGCTGCCCAAGGCAGTGTTGTGGGCAGGATGAGCAGGGAGGCTCTGTCTCCTGTTCCAAGGGAAGGCAGCAGCTGAGTCTCCAGGTTCCACTTGGCCACATTGGCTTGGCCCTCATGCACTGACTGCAGAGCAAGGCACAGATTGGGGTGAGCAGGAGGAATCATCACCTTGCTGTGTCCTTAAACCTTCCATGGGCAGTGCCTGGGCCCATTCCCAAGGAACGGAGTCCTGGTTGTGAGAGCACCGGGAATCAGAAGCTGAGGGAGAGGCTGGTCAAGCAGGAACAGCAAAATGGGGATATGGGAAGCCATGGGTGTGCAGGGACACCCTGGGCCATACCTGGCTATGGAGCAGAATGGTTTTACCTGTGGTTCTTCCCTGAGCTGCTCCCAGTGATCAGCACAAGCGGGTCCTGTACCTAAGCAAGCTGTCCAGAAATAACCACACGAGCCATAGAGAAATTGGGATGTAATCCATCCGTATCAGCACTGTATTAAGTTTAAAAAAGCGACATTTGTACAGGAGTATCAGTCAATCACGTTGTAATTACAAGTATGGTTGTCAGTTAAGAGTTGAACAATTCCTTACACCAATAAACGTAAAACAAGCTGCATTTAGAAGTTTACATTGGAGTACAAACACAAAAAAACAATAGAAAAATCCCAAGTCAGTCAGCCTTGTGAAGGAGATGCATGCAGAGAGGTGTAGGCAGTAAAAAGTGTACACCTTGCTGAGCTAGAGTGCCGAGGCGCAGTAGTATTGCTTGGTTTTCCCCCGTTATAGTAGTTAGCTTCCAGTAACAGATGCAGTTAGTTTACAGACACATAATATACATGAGTAATCTCATCCTGCTATGCTTCACCTGACAACAACTCCAGAGGAGAACACCAGTCCCATATAATACCCTTCCTCTGCAAAGGCTGTCTCAG